CGTTTACGAAACCGTCAACTCTTCGAGGAGGTACGTCATTTTCGTATTGTGCTCGTGTTTTTGCACTTCTGCTAAACTCTGCCCAGGACCTTCCTGTGGCTCGATTCCTTCAACGAAGACTCGTTTGGATACTACTTTACGTCCCGAAAACGCTCCGAGAAACCGTTTACGAATCCGTCAACTCTTCGTGGAGGTACGTCTATTTGTATTTTCGTGTTTTTGCACTTCTGCTAAACTCTGCCCAAGACCTTCCTGTGCATCGATTTCCATCAACGAAGACTTGTTTGGATACTACTTTACGTCCCAAAAACGCTCCGACAAACCGTTTATGAAACCGTCAACTCTTCGTGGAGGTACGTCTATTTGTATTTTCGTGTTTTTGCACTTCTGCTAAACTCTGCCCAAGACCTTCCTGTGCATCGATTTCCATCAACGAAGGCTTGTTTGGATACTACTTTACGTCCCGAAAACGCTCCGACAAACCGTTTACGAAACCGTCAACTCTTCGTGGAGGTACGTCTATTTGTACTTTCGTGTTTTTGCACTTCTGCTAAACTCTGCCCAAGACCTTCCTGTGCATCGATTTCCATCAACGAAGACTTGTTTGGATACTACTTTACGTCCCAAAAATGCTCCGACAAACCGTTTACGAAACCGTCAACTCTTCGTGGAGGTACGTCTATTTGTATTTTCGTGTTTTTGCACTTCTGCTAAACTCTGCCCAAGACCTTCCTGTGCATCGATTTCCATCAACGAAGGCTTGTTTGGATACTACTTTACGTCCCGAAAACGCTCCGACAAACCGTTTACGAAACCGTCAACTCTTCGTGGAGGTACGTCTATTTGTACTTTCATGTTTTTTTGCACTTCTGCTAAACTCTGCCCAAGACCTTCCTGTGCATCGATTTCCATCAATGTAAGACTTGTTTGGATACTACTTTACGTCCCAAAAATGCTCCAACAAACCGTTTATGAATCTGTCAACCCTTCGTGGAGGTATGTCTATTTGTACTTTCATGTTTTTGCACTTATGCTAAACTCTGCCCAAGACCTTCCTGTGGCTCAATTTCCTTCAATGTGGACTCGTTTGGATACTACTTCACATCCCAAAAATGCTCCAAGAAACCATTTGCGAATCTGTCAACCCTTTGTGGAGGTACATCTGTTTGTAATTTCGTGTTTTTTGAACTTATGCTAAACTCTGCCCAAGACCTTCCTGTGGCTCAATTCCCTTCAGTGTAGACTCATTTTGATACTACTACATGTGTGCAAGTAGTAGAGTAGCAGTGAGTACCCTTCACACCTTTAACACCAGTCTGTTCGATGGCAGCACCCCCTACATATTCCCCTTTGTTATTTTTAGTTGGTACATGCATTCCTGGTCATATCCTCAGGTTTGCCCAGTATTATGCCTTGGACAATATACAACTCTTTTACTACTTCAGGATTGAGGAGACGTTTTCTGAATTGTTGTTTAACAATTTATTGTATTCCATTGTATTAATCTGCCTACCCTGCAAAGCACCATGAATTGATTACATTGTATTCTGCCTTCTGTAAACCAGTCACTCAATCCTTAGGAT